AATTGTACGGATCAATGAGTAGGACATCTTCAGGAGTACCGTGTTGACAATTCCGATCATAAGTGTGTTCGCATATTCGTGATTTTAGATATAAAAATTGCTTAACACAGAAGAGGCTGAGTGGTGCCTTCCTAAGTTAATGCATAATAATCTTAATTACGAGAACTGTACTGTATAATAGAGGTTTTTGGGTTAGATCACGTAAATATGTGTCGTGAAAACCCGCCACCACCTGACACAACCAACTAATAAGGGTTGTCACGTAAACAGAACGTGGCCAATTCGTCACTAGTATAGCACTAGTGTATAGTGTAGTGTATAGTAGTATATAGTGAAGTATATAGCGTAGTGTATAGTAGTGTATAGTGTAGTATACTAGTACAGCACACCGGTGTGTTGGAGAGCCAAGCCACAACATTTACAATCTGAATACGACGTTTCGCCAGTAATTACAACTAGCTTCATCAGGCGACAGCCAGATTTGTAGAGAAGTCTGTTTCGTTCCTTATATAGAGGCGTAGATGTGGTGACCACGCAGTTGCGCTCTTGCGCAAAGTGGGTGGGGGATTACTGAGGCAACGTACATTATGCATGTGCATTATGCGAGCCCTTTGAACTTGTCCTTCCTGTCTATTGTGTTGATTGAAATAGCCCTACCAACGGTAATCCCTATTGAAGTACGCTTCCCTTCGTATGCATGCTTTTAAATAATGTACAATTTGATGATTCGCTTCCACGCAGCACTAAGGCTATTCGAACGGTTAAAGTTAATTTGATTTGTTTCAATTTCGATAGATTCTCTAATTAGTCTTGACAAGTAGTAGCTAGTTTTGCACAAAACTTCAACATTATTAAAATCATATTCTTGGTTCTTTCGGTAAAGTCACGTTGAAGGGAAACAATAAAATATTGACTTTACCGAAAGAACCAAAAGAAAGAACCAATAATATGAATAACCAAAAGAAAGAACCAATAATATGAATAACTGCAGTCACGAAAGCTTTAAATCAAAATTATTAAAATCAATTGAGTGTCCGTGTTGGCACGCGTGTTCTGCTACTGGTGACATTTGTATTTGGGATAATTTAATAATTCTCTGATGTTATTTTAGTCTCGTGCTGATCATTCGTCCTGTTTGCCCAACATAACATTTACCACACGTGCAGTTAATCCTGTACACACCTTATGTTGATATCTTCGGTAATACATCTTTTGTACCAGATATTTATTTATGTCTTTTATGTACCGTGTCAAATCTGACTAGGATGTTTTGTTTTTCCAAACATCTGGCTAGTTTATCAGTTACTCCCGCAATGTACGGTATTTTGATATTTTTAATTACTTGGGCAGTTTCAATGCTCTTGTTATTTGATTTGGTTTTGGTATTCGATGCCCTGTTGATTTGTGAATCATTGTAACCGTTCATTTGCAGCGCTTCTTTAACATGTTGAATTTCACTTCTCAGACTGTCACCATCTGACACTTTCTTCGCTCGATGAATGAGCATCTTAATGAGAGCTGATTTCTGCGCGGGGTGATGGTGTGACTGCATTTAGATAGGCGTCAGTATGCGTTTTCTTTCGGTAAACACAGTGTTGTTTTACCATTTCTACCCCGTCCGAGCAGAATATCCAGAAATGGGAGACTTCTGTCAGCTTCCAATTCCATGGTGAACTGTATGGATGGGTTTTGCGAGTTGAGATTATTTAGAAATGCGTTCAGTGTATATTTGCCGTGTGGCCAGACCACCATAGTATCATCACAGTTAATCACAATATAGTGGAATGCTTTTTGTGTTTAGTTTGTTGTCTTCCACCGCGCACCTCCGTTAGCACGGTTGGTTACGTACGGTGCGAAATAAGTTCACCATACACGCATACATTGTCTGAGAATGTGCAGTACACATATTACCGGTCGGATTAGTTAGTTGATCAACGTATGATAACCTGGATAGACATGCAATTAAACGGTGTATTTCTTGATAATACGCTTCCAAGCAGCACTGAGCTTATAGCAATCAGAACGGTTGCAATTATTTATATTTCTCTCAGTTTAAATAGATTCTCTAATTAATCTTGGCCAGTTATAATTAGTTTTACACAAACCATCAACATCAATTGATTGTCCTTGTTGGCAAGGATGTTGATCGCAAAAGCCTTCGTGTTAATTTTGACTAATCCGACCGGTAATATGTACCGCATATTCTCAGAATAACATAATTTATGTACTGTATGTCGAACTTCTTTGGCACCGTACGTAGCAAACCGTGCTAGAAACTGAACACAATTAGCGTTCCACTGTATGTTGATTAACTGTGACTAATCCAACCGATAAGAGAAGTACTGCATATTCTCAGATTAACATATCCATTGTAATGTGCATACATTGACCCCCACTGGTCATCGCACCTGAGGCTCACAATGATGTGCAAGATGCACCTACTCAGCCGCGCATTCCCGTACAATCTAACATTTTAAATAAAAAAACCACGATTTCTCTACTCGTTACTTATTTACTGCTTACCTATGCGCACGGTTCTATTTTAGTGCGCGCGCGGTTTCAATGCTCGCTCGCTGGTGGCCGCCGAGGGCGGCGCTGAGGTCCTCATCCCTGTAACGCCCCACTCGAACTTTATTGAGCGCGATATTGGGGGGCGCGCACAATGCAGACGGGCTGACCGGCGATTCACGTGGGAGTGCTGCGGAATAAACATTGGAGACATCACTCTTTGGTTCTTTGGGTAAAGTCAGCTAGAAAGATAAATCAATTAAATAATAGCATGCGACGTTGCAATTGCAACACAAGCAATCATCATCAGGTGTTGCATTGCATCACATTTCCAAATGTTACTAAGTTTGTTTGATTAAGTGTGTTTTCTCTCTCTCTCTCTGTGTCCTCGTGTTGTCGCTTTTGTATTTCCTGCAGTCACCAAAGCTCCAAATCTCTCATTGACATGCTAATTCCTCTACCCCCCCCTCTCTCTCTCTGTTTCAGGCCTCGACACAGAGGCGTTGTTTCTCTGTGTGCCTGTGTGTGTCTCTCTCTGTCTCTGTGCTATCTCTCTCTGCTTATGTGTCTGTGTCTCTGTGTCTGTGTTTTGTCTCCCTCTCAAATTTAACAATCTTTGGAAGAACGTAATCAACTAGTCAGGTGGTGTTTGTCAGAAATGCAATGAGCCCTATGGACTAACGAATTCTCTCATCAAAACGTTAATCCATAGGGTTCATTGCATTTCTGACAAACACCACCTGACTATCTTCTTTGGTTCTTTCGGTAAGGTCACGTAGAATGAGAATAAAATAATAAAATAACACAATAAAATTCTCACGACGTTTCGGCCACAACGCAAGCGGCCGTCTTCAGGTTCACCTTACCGAAAGAACCAAAGAAGATGAATCCTTGTAGTCACGAAAGCTTTAAACTACCTGACTAGTGGATTAAAACATGTACATATGGCCCTCAAGATGAACGGCTACTCTGACCGTACCATCCGCCAAGCTGTTTCTCCCACCACACAGAAACAACCACTTGACACTCCGATCAAAATCATCACGTTACCATAGATATCAGGCGTTACTAAAAAGATTTCCAAAATTCTAAACAAACACAAGATCCAAGTCCGGTTCAACACAGTGTACAAAATCAGCGATCTAATGTGATTCCTGACCTACAGTACCCCGGTGTTTACAAATTGAGTTGTACCTGCGGGGACTGTTATATCGGGGAGACGAAACGACATATCTCTGACCGAATCCGCGAGCAAAAATCAGATTTGAAACACGGCAGAACGAATTCTTCTGCCGTAGCTGATCATTGTTACAACGCTGTGGGTGATCACGATATTGTCTTCTCCGACACCAAGGTGCTCTGAAAACTTACGGGCTATTATCAGAGATTTGTCCACGAGGCCATCCAGATTTACAAACATAGACACAACTTCAAGTCAAACGTTAGCTGCCTTTCAATTTTTTGTACAGCCATTCCTCAGTGGTTGTATATCATAGTGCCCTTTGATCGCGTTCACAGAGAGCTCGCATCGGGGAGCCCTTTGAATGTGAGCTCACATCGAGGGGCCCTTTGATGTGAGCCCTTGATGTGAGCTCACATCGGGGGGCCCTTTGATGTGAGCTTTGAGAAGTGGGTGTTACCCTCAGCATTCTATCAAAAAAAGCTGCTTAGCCCAGCCCTCCCACCCAGCCACGCCCCCTTACTGACTCCTCCCCCCTCCCTTAACCTGTATATATAATCCAAGTTCGTCTCTGAACTGTGCTCCTGACACAGATATTCTGCGTTGGCTTTTCCACCTGAAGACGGAAGCTTGTGTTGCCTCCGAAACGTCGTGATTTAATTTAGTTTTGTTTTATTTTGTTTTATCTACGTGACTCTACCGAATAAAACCAAAGAGTATTGGGGACATCGTTTCCTACGGGGTGGGGGGGATGGTGAGGGGGAGGGGTGAGGGGGCGAGGGGGTAGGGGCTGAGGCGAGGAGGTGAGGGGGGGTGAGGGGGCGAGGCGGTGGGGGCTGAGGTGAGGGGGTGGGGGCTGAAGCGAGGGGGTGGGGGCTGAGGCGAGGAGGTGAGGGGGGGTGAGGGGGCGAGCGGGTGGGGGCTGAGGTGAGGGGGTGGGGGTAGAGGGTGCGAGGTGGAGAGGGGCGGGGCTGTGTAGTGTGGGTGAAGGGGCGGGGCTGTGTAGTGTGGGTGAAGGGGCGGGGCTATGTAGTGGTGGAGGGGCGGGGCTGTGTGGTGTGGGTGGAGGGGCGGGGCTGTGTAGTGTGGGTGGAGGGGCGGGGCTGTGTGGGATATGGGTGGAGGGGCGGGGCTGTGTGGTGTGGGGCTGTGTGGTGTGGGTGGAGGGGCGGGGCTGTGTGGTGTGGGTGGAGGGGCGGGGCTGTGTAGTGTGGATGGGTGGAGGGGCGGGGCTGTGTGGGGTGGGTGGAGGGGCGGGGCTGTGTAGTGTGGGTGGAGGGGCGGGGCTGTGTGGTGTGGGTGGAGGGGCGGGGCTGTGTGCACACGCTGGGCGCCACTTTGCGCTCGAGTCGAGTTCGCCAGCAGCCTGCGGAGCTGCGAGCCTCGGCGAGCGCCTCCATCCAGCCGGGGCAGCAGCCGCAGCAGCAGCAGCCGCTGTTGCTGTGGAGCCGGTAAGGCGCCGTTGCCGTAGATCTGTGGTGGTGGTTGTGGTTGTTGTGGTTGTTGTTGTTGGGACGCGCTGGAGGAGGTCTCTCTGCGCATCGCAGCGCGGGTCCTGGCGCGGTCCGCGGCCGGCGTCGAACCGAATCGCGCGCGGAGCCCGAGCGAGGCGGTGCTTGGTGGCCGTGCCGGGCCACTTCGCCTTCACCGGGGCTGCTCGCCAACAGCACTTGCCCCAACACTCTGTTGAGCCTACACGGGGGATCTTTGTCTTGTGCGCGTGCCTCCGCGTGCAGCGGGGTGGGGGGGTAGCGCGCTGCGTACGAACCCCGCGAGGTCGCTTCGTGCTCGCGACTCGCACCGGGGACGATGACCTCGACGGGTCCTGGGGCTCCCCTAGGTCGACTCAGCCTCAAAATGAGTACCTGGTGCCGTGCCGGCCTTCATAGGTGCTCGCTAACAGCACTTGCCCCTACAGTCTGTTAAGGCTACACGGGGGATCTTTGTATTGTGAGTGTGTGAGTGGGCGAGTTAACGTGTGGGTGAGGGTGTGTCGGTGTGTGAGTGGGCGATTTAACGCGAGTGTGGGTGAGGGTTTGTGAGTGGGTGAGTTAACGTGAGCGTGTGAGTGGGTGAGTTAACGTGTGGGTGAGGGTGTGTGAGTGGGCGAGTTAACGTGAGGGTGTGTGGTGTGTGAGTGGGCGAGTTAACGTGTGAGTGTGTGAGTGGGTGAGTTAACGTGTGAGTGTGTGAGTGGGTGAGTTAACGTGTGAGTGTGTGAGTGGGTGAGTTAACGTGTGAGTGTGTGAGTGGGTGAGTTAACGTGTGAGTGTGTAAGTGGGTGAGTTAACGTGTGAGTGTGTAAGTGGGTGAGTTAACGTGTGAGTGTGTGAGTGGGTGAGTTAACGTGTGAGTGTGTGAGTGGGTGAGTTAACGTGTGAGTGGGTGAGTTAACGTGTGAGTGTGTGAGTGGGTGAGTTAACGTGTGAGTGTGTGAGTGGGCGAGTTAACGTGTGAGTGTGTAAGTTAACGTGTGAGTGGGTGAGTTAACGTGTGAGTGGGTGAGTTAACGTGTGAGTGTGTGAGTGGGTGAGTTAACGTGTGAGTGTGTGATTGGGTGAGTTAACGTGTGAGTGGGTGAGTTAACGTGTGAGTGGGTGAGTTAACGTGAGTGTGTGAGTGGGTGGGTTAACGTGTGAGTGTGTAAGTGGGTGAGTTAACGTGAGTGTGTGAGTTAACGTGTGAGTGTGTGAGTGGGTGAGTTAACGTGTGAGTGTGTGAGTGGGTGAGTTAACGTGTGAGTGTGTGAGTGGGTGAGTTAACGTGTGAGTGTGTGAGTGGGTGAGTTAACGTGTGAGTGGGTGAGTTAACGTGTGAGTGTGTGAGTGGGTGAGTTAACGTGTGAGTGTGTGAGTGGGTGAGTTAACGTGTGAGTGAGGGTTTGGGTGTGTGAGTACGTGAGTAGCTGCCACTGCTATTCAGTGGCCTAAAATAAAATGTTTCGCTCCGGATGACCGCTGCAAAGTATTATCTGTATTTTGATTTAGTGTGCTGATCTTAAAGGTGCATTGATAAATTTGATACTCCGACTGATGCTCCTGTTGTTGCGGAGTAACTCATGCAGCCAGCTGTGGCTCTAGGGTTTGGTGTTACATGTTGTTAATGTAGTTTATTGTAAAAAATTCGGTCACAGTCGCTATGATCATTGTTACATTGCATTTATGGCTTTATTTTGGTGATTTCGAAAAGTTTTTTGGTTTGGCCATGTTTGTAGTAGTACGGAGTTAGACTGATGGCCTTAATCTAAGTTGTCTTGTGGTTGTTGTTGTTTTTTGACTTGCATTCCACTGGGATTTTTGCACACAGCGTTGGTGTATGGTGCTTTTTCAGGAATATTTTGCTGTTTTTCCTGGATTTTCTGTTTGCACAGTCACATAGTCACTTCAAGATGTTTTCTTGTTTATGTTTTTGTTTGTTGTGGTTGCACCCGATTCAAGAGCCGAATGGCTCACAGGGCTATACCAAATAAATGAAACTGGAACTGAAAACGTGTGAGTGAGGGTGTGGGTGTGTGAGTGGGCGAGTTACCGTGTGAGTGAGGGTGTGAGTGGGCGAGTTACCGTGTGAGTGAGGGTGTGAGTGGGCGAGTTAAAGAGTGGGTGTGTGAGTGGGCGAGTTACCGTGTGAGGGTTTGAGTGGGCGAGTTAAAGAGTGGGTGAGTGGGGAGCGGTGGTGTAGCGGTTAGGGCGCAGCGCTACGAACCTGGCCATCTTGGTTCGATTCCCGCTCATAGCCAACACCGGTGATGATTATCTGAACAGGTCTTGGGCTTCCCCTAGGTTGACTTGGCCTCAATTGAGTACCTGATGCAGCGTGTAACACATTGCCACTGGGGAGACAAAGGCGGCCGGGCGTGGTGCTGGCCACCAACCCCCTTGTGTGCCGTTCCGGCCTTCATAGGTGCTCGCTAACAGCACTTGCCCCTAGAGTCTGTTAAGGCTACACGGGGGATCTTTGTTCTTTGCTGTGTTCTGCAGTGTGGTGAGTGGGTGAGTGTTGTGACCTGCAGAGTGGTGAGTAAGTGGGTGAGTGTTGTGACCTGCAGTGTGGTGAATGAGTGGGTGAGTGTTGTGACCTGCAGTGTGGTGAGTGAGTGGGTGAGTGTTGTGACCTGCAGAGTGGTGAGTGAGTGGGTGAGTTTCGATTTAAAGCTTTCATGACTGCAGTGATTCATCTTCTTGTTTCTTTCGGTAAAGTAACGTAGAATGGAAACAAAGTAATAAAAATAAAACATAATAAAATAAAATTCTCACGACGTTTTGGCCACAACACAAGTAGCCTTCAGGTGAAGGAACAGAACTGTCGGGACAACAGTGCTTCAATGAACGCTGCTAAGATTCGTAGCGTCTTTTAAGCTGGGTGGGAGGAGCAGAGCGCCTTGACAAAGGAGTTTACATATCAAAGCAGGAGAATTTAGCATTAAAATAGCTGAAGGATTAGCTTGTGACTGGTCACAGAAATAGCTATGTTAAAGTCAAAGCCTACACATCCACAGAGGCACCTAGTATTAATCAAAGCAGGATAATTTAGCATTGAAATAGCTGAGGGATTAGCTTGTGACTGGTCACAGAAATAGCTATGTTGAAGTCAAAGTTTACATATCAACAGAGGCATTTAGTACATGGACGCTAAAGGGCTGCAACTACCCAACTACCATACAGTAAAGCGATGTGAAAAAACTAAGTTTAAATTACATCAATATAATAAATGTACTCAATATATTCTTCAATAAGCTGAGCTATTAACACAAGCAACTAGGTATACACTACACTATATAATGAATACCATATAGTAAACTAATAAAAAAACTAAAATATAAACTACCTCAATGTTATCAATAAACTCTATATACTCTCAAATCAGCTGAGCCACCAACAATAAGTCGTTATATATCACAACGCCATATGGCGAAAAAATGGGTGGCGGTTTCTTCCCCTCAACGCCAGCACCACGGACAGCGACGAGCCCCGTTCAGACGGACGAGTCCATCCATGCTCGGAACGGAGGAGGGGGGAGAGAAACAGCCACGATGCGCTGTTATACTCCATGTTATAAACCATACCATTAACCGTGGTGTGAGAGGTATTAAGAGGCAATGCCAGCGAAAGAGCTGCAGTCTGAAGGTCACCAAACAGTTCTCGTTGAAACCTCCGGCCAGACCACCAAGATTATATGGCCTTCCAAAGATACACAAAGAAGATACACCCCTTCGTACCATCGTATCCACTATCAACTCCCCCACCTACAAACTGGCTCGTTTTCTTTCTGATATCCTGCGACCTTTCGCTGGAAAAACCACCTCTGCGGTACTAAACTCTACTCACCTGGTATCGACAATCAAGGGTATTTCCCTGTCCCCAGACGACCTGCTTGTCAGTTTTGATGTGGTTTCCTTATTCACCAAAGTTCCGGTACCTGACACCATCGCAATCATTGAAGACCTGATTCATCAAGGACTGCACACTGATGTACCCCCCCCTGGTGAGACATTGCTTAACCAACACATACTTCACCTGGAATGGAACTTTCTACAAACAGACTGAGGGCACCCCAATGGGCTCCCCCCTGTCTCCGGTTGTAGCCAACGTATTCATGGGAAAATTTGAAACTGACGCCATTCAGACTGCCACTCTATGCCCTACCTTATGGAGGAGGTACGTGGATGACCCTTTTGTCATCTGGCCACATGGCCAGCCTGCTCTGGACCAATTCCTCGACCACATCAATTCCATGCACCCAGCCATCAGATTTACCATGGAGGTCGAAAAGGATGGCAAGCTGCCCTTTTTGGATGTCTTAATTGAGAGGAGACCTGATGGTTCAATGAGCCACCCTGTCTACAGGAAAGCTACCCATACAGATGCTTACTTGAAACCAGATTCCCACCACCATCCATCCCAGAAGAACTCCCTCATCAAGACTCTATACCATAGAGCCCAATGCATTTCCGACCAGGAACACATTGCCAGTGAACTCAAACACGTACACAAGGCTCTCAGGGCTAATGGCTACTCCGACTACACAATCCGCAAAGCCATCACTCCAGTCATGAAGAAGGATCCTCTTGTGGAGCCACTCAAAACCATCACCTTACCCTACATTGCAGGGGTCACTAAAAAGATCTCCAAAATCCTGAATAAACACAAGATCCAGGTCCGATTCAACACAGTACATAAAATCCGTGATCTGGTTCCATCTGTAAAAGATGCTGTTCCAGACATACAGTACCCGGGCGTTTACTAAAGTGCCTCTGTGGTAGCAGCTACATTGGAGAAACCAAACGACATATCTCGGACCGCATCCGCGAACATAAAGCAGACTTGAAACACGGTAGGACGAACTCCTCTGCCGTGGCAGATCACTGTTATAATTCAGTGGGCTATATTTCCCTTTTTTTTCTACTCCCCCCTTACAGCACATTCTTGCCGATCTTTAATTTTTCTATTTTTCCGTTTCTATTGCACACACACAGTGACCCACCCCCCGCACCCTCTACACAACAAAAGACGGATTAACTCAGCCCCGCACCCCACCAAGGTCCCCCTACATGGCTCCCCCCCCCCCTCCCTTAACCTGTATTTAAGCCCAAGGTTCCCAAAGCCTCGCCACTTGGTGCAGCGATTTTTTTCTGTGACTGTTTCCACCTGAAGACGGGAAGCTTGTGTTGCCTCCGAAACGTCGCGTTTTAATTGTTTATTTTCTTTTAATTTGTTTTTTTACCTACGTGACTTTACCGAATAAAACCAAAGAGTATGAGTGGATAAGTGTTGTAATCTGCAGGGTGCTTAGTGAATGGGTGAGTATTGTAACCTGCAGTGGGGTGAGTGACTAGGTGAGTGTTATGACCTGTAGTGAGGTAGGTGAGGGTTGTGATCTGCAGTGAGGTGGGTGGGTGAATGGGTGAGTGCTGTGGCCTGCAGTGTAGTGAGTGAGTGTTGTGACCACCAGTGTGGTGAGTGAGTGAGTGGGTGAGTGTTGTGTTCTGCAGTGAAGTGGGTGAGTGGATGAGTGAGTGTGTGAGTAATCTTGATTTGAAGCTTTCGTGACTGCAGGAATTACTCTTTGGGTTTTTCGGTAAAGTCACGTAGAAAGCAAAAATAAATAAAAAAAATAGCGACTTCTTATAACGACTTATTGTTGTGTTGCTCAGCTGATTGGAGAGTATATAGAGTTTATTGATAACATGGAGGTATTTTATATTTTTTTTATTAGTTTACTATATGGTATTCATTATATAGTGTAGTGTATACCCAGTTGCTTTGTGATTAATAGGTCAGCTTATTGAAGAATATATTAAGTACATTTATTATATTGATGTAATATAGATTTAGTTTTTTCACATCGCTTTACTGTATGAAAGTTGGGTAGTTGGAGGCCTTTAGCGTCCATATACTAAATGCCTCTGTTGATAGGTAAACTTTGACTTTAACATAGCTATTTCTGTCACAAGCTAATCCCTCAGCTATTTAAATGCTAAATTATCCTGCTTTGATACGTAAACTCCTTTGTCAAGACGTTTTACGCCTCTCACCGAGCTTAAAAGACACTACGAATCTTAGCAACGCTCATTGAAGCACTGTTGTCCCGACAGTTCTGTTCCTTCACCTGTTGAAGGCTACTTGTGTTGTGGCCGAAACGTCGTGAGAATTTTATTGTCTTATTTTATTTTATTATTTTAGTCTCATTCTACGTGACTTTACCGAAAGAACCAAAGAAGAAAAAAATAGATCACGACGTTTCGACTTCAACACAAGCAACCGTCATCAGGTGAGAACTGTGTGTAAATGCATGCTCGGAGAGAGACACATATACAGAGAGAGAGAGACACATCCAGAGAGAGAGAGACAAACACAGACACGGAGAGAGACATATACAGAGAGACACACACATAGAGGAGAGACAGAGAGAGACACACACGCAGAGAGAGACACAGAGATAAACAACGCCTCTTTGGCGAGGCATTATATAGATCCCAGAAGGGGGGAGAAGGGGCTGCAGTGACAGGAGAGATCAGCGGCATGGGGAAGAGAGGGGGGGGGGCAGTGAAATTAGCATGTAAATGTGAGTGGGTGAGTGTTGTGACCTGCAGTGTGGTGGGTGGGTGAGTGTTGTGACCTGCAGTGTGGTGGGTGGGTGAGTGTTGTGACCTGCAGTGTGGTGGGTGAGTGAATGAGTGGGTGAGTATTGTGATCAGTCATGAGTGGGTGAGTGTTGTGACCTGCAGTGTGGTGGGTGGGTGAGTGTTGTGACCTGCAGTGTGGTGGGTGGGTGAGTGTTGTGACCTGCAGTGTGGTGGGTGAGTGAATGAGTGGGTGAGTATTGTGATCAGTCATGAGTGGGTGAGTGTTGTGACCTGCAGTGTGGTGGGTGGGTGAGTGTTGTGACCTGCAGTGTGGTGGGTGGGTGAGTGTTGTGACCTGCAGTGTGGTGGGTGAGTGAATGAGTGGGTGAGTATCGTGATCAGTCATGAGTGGGTGAGTGTTGTGACCTGCAGTGTGGTGGGTGAGTGAATGAGTGGGTGAGTATCGTGATCAGTCATGAGTGGGTGAGTGTTGTGACCTGCAGTGTGGTGAGTGGGTGAGTGTTGTGACCTGCAGTGTGGTGAGTGGGTGAGTGTTTTTTACCTGCAATGTGGTGAGTGGGTAAGTGTTTTGATCTGCAGTTTGGTGAGTGGGCGAGTGTTGTGATCTTTCTTGAGGTGGGTGAGTGTTGTGACTTGCAGTGAGGCGAGTGACTAAAGGAGTGTTGTGACCTGCAGTTAGGTGGGTGAATGTCGTGATCTACAGTAAAGTGGGTGAGTGAGTGGATAAGTGTTGTAATCTGCAGGGTGCTTAGTGAATGGGTGAGTGTTGTGGTCTGCAATGAGGTGGGTGAGTGGAAGAGTGTTGTGACCTGCAGTGGGGTGAGTGACTAGGTGAGTGTTATTACCTGTAGTGAGGTAGGTGAGGGTTGTGATCTGCAGTGAGGTTGGTGAGTGGGTGAGTGTTGTGGACTGCAGTTAGGTTTGTGAGTGGTTGAGTATTGTGACCTTCAGTGTGGTGAGTGAGTGGGTGAGTGTCGCGATCTGCAGCGAGGTGGGTGAGTTGGTGTGTCGCGACCGCTGCGAGTCCAGGAGATCAGAATCAAAATCTTTATTTAGACTGGAAAAATCCGATGAGCTGTGGAGCTCTTTTTCACAGACAATGGGGGGGAGGGGGGAGTCAGTGGGGACAAGGCGGGAGGCAATGATCCGGCCGGGGTATTGAAGAGGTAAAACCATTACAGAGAGATGGAAACCACTGCTGCGGGAGAGAGCGCAAGAGTGATTTTGGAAGAGCATTTGCATGTATGTAGTTGAAGTTCTTTCGCACCGTACGCAGCCAACCGTGTTAATTGGAGATAGCAGAGCAGGGGTACAGGCCAGAGGCGAGCGGGGAGAGCCAATGAGGGGTCTAACTCGGGGGGGGATGTTGAGATGAGTGGGGAGAAAGTGGGAGATGGAGCGAGGCGCAGATTAACAGGAACCAGCAGGAGCAGAGCTTGCAGGGGCAGGGGGCATCCCAGAGATCGTGTGGAGGGGAGTGTGGGAACTGAGGCCCTGGGGGGCCGCAGAGAGCCCGGAGCGTCCTGGCTGTCTCCTTCACGGGACGTACCATGCTGTGCAGGTGGACGTCCATTCATTGCTCTCCGTTTACACCTGTGAATTGTCAAGGACTGACAAGCGTGCACATTAAAGCACCTGAACCAGATTCGGAACTCATTCCAAGTAGGTGAGTGGTTGTGAGTGGGCAAGTTTCCGAGTGTGTGGTGGCCAACGTTCTGGTGCAGTGTGCAGTGTAGGGCGGTTGGTGTGTGTTGCATTGTGTAGTGCAGGGTGTGGTTTAGTGAGCGGTGTGGTTTTGGTTGGTGTGGTTTGGTGAGCGGTGTGGTGTGTGCTGCAGTGTAGGGTGTGGTGCAGTGTTGGGGTGAGGTGTGTTTTGCAGAGAGGTTAGCGGCACGGTGTGTAGTGCAGGTTGTGGTTTGGTGAGCGGCGCGGTGCAGTGTGGGGTGAAGTGTGTAGTGCAGGGTGGTGAGCGGTGCGGTGTGCGGTGTCTCCGCTTTGCAGGACGTGATGGCGGCGAGTGCTCCATGCCGTGAGCCGCCAGCATGGCTCAGCAGCATCTTCCCGTATGGCGTCACCATTCCCGCGCCTCCTCCTCCTCACAACCTCCTCTCCTTTCATACGCCTCCCCGCTTCAGCAACACCACGTGGACAGATACCGCAGCATCCTACAGCGCAAGATTCTGGCATTCCGACTTTGCAAAGTTCGTGCAGAAATTCGGGCCATCCGTGAGGCTGCCGCCAAGCGTAGTGGTGGAGGGAGTCGTGCATCCTGGTGGGCAGAACCTCCTCAAGTCAAAGCCGTGGCAGTACCGCAGCGCACCGTTCGCGACGGTGAACAGCGGCTCGGTGGCATCTCCCAGCCAATGGATGTACCAGCCAAAAAATGCTCCTTATTGGCAAGTCACTGCAGCTATGCTCGCACAGAACAATGCCGGCATCTGCGAGACTGCGTCCAACATTGGTTCGTTAAACCAAACGGGAATGGAAAGGGCAGCCCGGCAGGGGCAGGCGAGAGGCACCGAGGTGGGTGGCAGCGCGCCCTTAGCCCAGGTGCAATCGGACGAGTTGGAGGTTCACTTCTCGGGGCGCGGGCGTGGGTACGGGTGTGGGCGCGGACGCGGACGCGGACGTGGAGCCGCGGCGCCGGCCACCGTGCAAGTCAGCGGGCGCGGCAATTCGCGCGGAGAGAAGCGGCCGCTGCCAAGGAAAGAACCCGAACGGGGCCAGCACGCCGACCCTTCCACGGCGCCGTGCATCTCCAGGCACGGACACAGCTGCTGCTCCAGGCTTACTCACTACAACAGGTTTGACGAGCACTGGCAGCCCGCTTGGCACAAAGAACAAATCCCAATTATTACCGCCGTCTTCAGCCTCGCTCCTGACCCACTTCATTCCGAAGCCCCCAGCACAACGAGGAGGAGAAGCACTCACGACGAAACCGATAAACCAGCGCCACAGCCCCACGATGGGAATTCCGTCCTTCCTGTGGCCGTCAAATGCGAAAGCCCCGCTGGCTGTTGCAGCGGGAAAGTAACAATGGAAGTCAATATGAACGCAGCTTCTGAAACTACCACCTCTTCCGTGCCATTTTTACTGCCAGAAATTAAAAAAGAACCTTTAGCAGAAGTAGGCGTTTGTGTCCAAGCTGCAGATGCAGACGCCCAGACAGACGCTGAGCATTCATCAAATGAGCGAGACGTAGGGCCCGGTGCCGTGCCGTCAACCCGGTACAAACTCGAACCTCTGAGCGTAACTTTGCCCTTTGGCGCCGTTCCTTCGCGGGCACAAGTAAAGGAGCTCGCAATGGATTTGGAATCGCGACGTCTGCCCACCCCAAGTGTTCATGAGAGTCAACAGCTGTGTGCAGTAGAAGAAACCCCAGGGAACGCTTCTGTCGGTCGGATTGAGAGTAAAGACTCGGAATCAGTTTATGCTCGATATGCGGAGGGAGAGACGACACCGCGCGATTGTGAGACGCACATCGAGGCAGCAGCTGTGATTGTGGGAGTGGCTCGGCCTGGGAGCAACGAGTTTGGTGCCGAGCATGGACAGCCGGCCTTGCACGAGGGAGACGCTGGTGCCTCCTGGCCTGAAAAGGACACGGCTGGTGTCGCGATGCTGGTGGCGCACTCTGCCCGGGTGGAGGATCTTGCCAGTGTCTCGATGCCAGTGGCGCATTCCACCTGGGTGGAGGACACGGCCGGTGTCGCAATGCCGGTGGCACATTCCGGCCAGGTGGAGGACATTGCCAGTGTCTCGATGCCAGTGGTGTGTTCCGCCCGGGTGGAGGACACAACCAGTGTCCCGATACCGGTGGCTCGCTCCGCCCCAGTCAAGGACACAGCCGGAGTGGGAGCCAAAGAAGCGGGTACCTGCTGCTCATTTGATTCTAGTGAGGAATCTGCAGCAGAAGAATTCGCGACCCCACAGTCTGCACCGGCCATGAGCGGAACCTGCACATTTCAGCCAGATGATGACATAGACCTGCCCAAGGTTACAGAAGTCCCCGGGTCTGTATGTACCGTGAGCCGCCCGGGTCTTGGCTCTCGCTACATCAGCAAGGAGAAGGCAGACCTGGCAGCGATGGAAAGCACGACGCCCAGTTTGGGTGAACACACGGCCACTGTGACCTCAGTTCCTCAAGAAACGAGCGCTGCACACAAGACCTGCAACTTTCATTCTGCCAAGATGACTCCGCCGACTAAGAATCCTAAAAACAAAGTGTCGAAGATCACCGTGAATGGGTTCTGTGTATCAGAGTTTGGTGGGATTACCGCAACCAGAATTGAAAATCTCTTCACTTTGTTGTCATTGCACATGGAACTCATGAACATTGCAGATGGTGTAACGGATGCCCACAAAGATGCTCTGTCCCAGGCAGAGTGGACGAGACACAAGGAGGAGGCGGCCATGCTCAACCATCCGCGTGTCCGCCGAGCAGTGGAGCGCGTCGTCCGGGCCCTGGTGGGAATGGAATCAGAGTCCTCGTGCCCGTTCCCATTCGTGCTGCGCCATGGCAGGACCTTCGTGCCTCTCGCCGCCCTCCGGGAGACGATGGTCATGGAGCTGTCGAGGCACGAGCTGGTGGGTGTGCTGGCGCGCTGCGCCGTGCCACAACGGCCATCCACTCTGACAGAGGAGGGTGTGTTGCGGTGCGCGCCATGGCTCCGGCGTGGTTGCTTCACGCTGCTACGCATGGCCCAGCTGCGCTACGTCTATCCACACCTCTTCCACACCGCCTGGAGGGTGCGACGCAGGATGGGTGAGAGTCTTCCGCTATCTATTGATGGTCACACTCGCTCCACATTGTGTATAGATTGTCATCCTTCTCCCACACCTCCCATTAGTGCGGTTGACTATGTAGGGTGCGAAAAAAATTCAACATACAGTGAGGGAAAAAAGTATTTGAGCCCCTGCTGATTTTGCACGTCTGCCCACTGACAAATATATGATCAGTCTGTAATTTTAATGGTAGGTTTATTTGAACAGTGAGAGACAGAATAACAACAAACAAATCCAGAAAAATGCATGTCAAAAATGTTATAAATTGATTTGCATTTTAATGAGGGAAATAAGTATTTGACCCTTCTGCAAAACATGACTTAGTACTTGGTGGCAAAACCCTTGTTGGCAATCAAAGAGGTCAGACGTTTCTTGTAGTTGGCCACCAGGTTTGCACACGTCTCAGGTGGGATTTTGTCCCACTCCTCTTTGCAGATCTTCTCCAAGTCATTAAGGTTTCGAGGCTGACGTTTGGCAACTCGAACCTTCAGCTCCCTCCACAGATTTTCTATGGGATTAAGGTCTGGAGACTGGCTAGGCCACTCCAGGACCTTAATGTGCTTCTTCTTGAGCCACTCCTTTGTTGCCTTGGCCGTGTGTTTTGGGTCATTGTCATGCTGGAATACCCACCCACGACCCATTTTCAATGCCCTGGCTGAAGGAAGGAGGTTCTCACCCAAGATTTGACGGTACATGGCCCCGTACATCGTCCCTTTGATGCGGTGAAGTTGTCCTGTCCCCTTAGCAGAAAAACACCCCCAAAGCATAATGTTTTTACCTCCATGTTTGACGGTGGGGATGGTGTTCTTGGGGTCATAGGCAGCATTCCTCCTCCAAACAGGGCGAGTTGAGTTGATGCCAAAGAGCTCCATTTTGGTCTCATCTAACCACAACACTTTCACCCAGTTGTCCTCTGAATCATTCAGATGTTCATTGGCAAACTTCAGACGGGCATGTTTATGTGCTTTCTTGAGCAGGGGGACCTTGCGGGTGCTGCAGGATTTCAGTCCTTCACGGCGTAGTGTGTTACCATTTGTTTTCTTGATGACTATGGTCCCAGCTGCCTTGAGATTATTGACAAGTTACTCCTGTGTAGTTCTGGGATGATTCCTCACCGTTCTCATGATCATTGCAACTCCACGAGATGAGATCTTGCATGGAGTCCCAGGCCGAGGGAGATTGATAGTTCTTTTGTGTTTCTTCCATTTGCGAATAATTGCACCAACTGTTGTCACCTTCTCATCAAGCTGCTTGGCAATGGTCTTGTAGCCCATTCCAGCCTTATGTAGGTCTACAATATTTTCCCTGACATCCTTGGAGAGCTCTTTGGTCTCAGCCATGGTGGAGAGTTTGGAATCTGATTGATTGATTTCTTCTGTGGACAGGTGCCTTTTATACAGGTAATAAACTGAGATTAGGAGCACTCCCTTTAAGAGTGTGCTCCTAATTTCAGCTCGTTACCTGTATAAAAGACACCTGGGAGCCAGAAATCTTTCTGATTGAGAGGGGGTCAAATACTTATTTCCTTCATTAAAATGCCAATCAATTTATAACATTTTTGACATGCATTTTTCTGGATTTTGTTATTCTGTCTCACTGTTCAAATAGACCTACCATTAAAATTATAGACTGATAATTTATTTGTCAGTGGGCAAACATACAAAATCAGCAGGGGTTCAAATACTTTTTCCCTCACTCTACATACACACACACCCCCCACATACAGTTTAACACGTAGGCTTTCGCGACCAATATTATTCATAATAAAGGTTTTTTGGTTAGATCGCGTTATTTATAAATGTGTCGTAACCCTCCACCATCCGACACAGCCAAACAGTAAAAAATGTGTCACGTTTACAAAAGACAAATAGTTCACTACTTTAGCCCACCGGTATGTTGAAGAGTGAATCAACATCATTTACAATTTTGAGTACGATGTTTCGCTGGTAATTACATCCAGCATCATCGGGCAATTTGCCAGAATGGTGAAGCCCTCACTTTCTCTCAGTCTTAAATAGAGCAGCACGGTGACGCCATCATTTAACCCAATCTGGTGCAGTGATTTGTGGCGGGGAGGGTATTGTAATTATATAATAGATTGGTAATCATTCAGTTGTTATTAATTAGTATTTGTTTCCCATATAATGAATTGTAATTGTAATATATTTTATTTAATAATACTTTTCCAGGCCGCACTAAGCCTGTAGCTGTCTGAGCGATTAAAGTTATTTGTATTTATCTCAATTTCAATGGATTATCTAATTAGTCTTGGCCAGTAATAATTTGTTTTACACAACACTTCAACATTATCAAAATCAATTGAGTGTCCTTGTTGACAAGCATGCTCTGCCACTGCCGACAGTTGTGTTGGAGATAATTTAATATTTCTTTGGTGTTCTTTTAGTCTTACGCTGATGTTACGTCCCGTCTGACCAATTCAACAACATTCAACAATGTTGTTGAATTGGTCAACAACTGCCATTCGCCACTAAGTGTCGGTGACATCACCACGACGCTTGTGCCAGGCTATGTGCACCTTGAGGCCACGTGAAGTGTCGAACGCCCGCTGGCAGGAGGTTACGGGGCAGACCCAGGTGCCATGGGTTGAATGACTGAGACGAGTGGCTGATGCACCACCTGTGCCCCCTACTGTGCCAACTTTCTGTGCTTTAGCCACCCGGAGCTCCTCTCGTTGTTGTGAGCGTCGCTCCTCCGCCCTCCGTTGTTGTTGGAGGGCGACTGCCTCCAACTGCCCAGTAGCGTCCTTCACGAGCCTCCTCTACAGAGGCCGATCTTGAAACCGCTGGTACCAGTCATCGGCAAGTCCACTCAGCTCCACGTCCTCCTGTACCACATCACTCCATCTCTTCTTTAGCCCATTTAGCCCCCTCGATCCGGCCGAACAAAAGATGTTTAGGCATGCGGTGGCTGGGTATGCGGGCTACATGACCCAGCCAATGCAGCCTTGCCTGCCGGATTTGCTCACCGATGGGACTTTGTCCACATCTTTCAAGGATTTGTGAGCTCCTCACACAATCCAGCCTGGTTAAACCCAGGATGGATCGTAGGCAGGCCAGCCTAAATGTTTCCAACTGGCGAAGATGTTCCATTAGGGGGGTCCACGTTTCGCAAGCGTAGAGAAGGGAGGGAATGACCGTGTCCGAGAAGACCTGAAGCTTCGTGCGGAGTGATAGACCAGGTAGCTTCCACACAGCGTTCCGCAACCGATGATAAGATAATGCCGCTCGACTGATTCTGAGTGAGACCTCTGCTGTTAAACCGGAGCCGGTCATGAGCACACTGCCCAGGTATGGGAAACTCTCCACTCTCTCCGCAACTGCCCTATCACCAATTGGGAGTTGTTGGGGTGGAGTGTCCGATGGTACAAAATACCCAGGCAGGTGCTTAGTTTTGGTGAGGCTGATGGTAAGGCCCCACCTCTTGGTGGCAAGCTCCAGGTTCAGCAGCAGCGCTTCCAACTTCTCTTCTGAGTGAGCAGCAATTACCAAATCATTGGCATATATAACGTGGTTGAGCAATAGGGAGCCATCCCTTGACTGCACCCGGGCATCGATCAGCCTCCCATTGTATCTGTACCAAATGGAAATTCCTCCGATACAGCTATTGAAGGCTTCATGAACCACGTGGTCAAAATAGATGTTAAATAATGTGGGAGCCAGAGGACATCGCTGTCGCACCGCAAGGTGTACAGGGAATGGCTCTGACTCCCGGCCACGTAGTTTTACCTGGGCCCGCTCACCATCGTGAAGGTCCTTAATGAGCGGGTCAGGGACTCCCAAAGCACGAAGAACAACCCAGGGCCCAGGCCTACTGATGGTATCATAGGCCTTGACCAGGTCAATAAAGCAGAGATGTAGGTCTTGTTGGAATTCTCTACACCTCTGCTGTAGCAGACTGACAGAAAATATGGCATCTGTGCAGGACCGCCCTTTCATGAAACTGCATTGGGGCTCCACAAGCCTCGCCTCAGCGTACCTAGCAAGGCGATGTTAAATAATCCTTGCCAGGACCTTTCCCGGCACACTGAGGAGTGAGATGCCCCTGCAGTTGTTACAGTCTGTGCGGTCCCCCTTTTTCAAGAGGGGGACCACCAGGGCATCCTTCCAATCCTGCGGAACCCATCCAGTGGTCCAGACTGTTGCTATGATATCATGTAGGGCAGTCTGTGCACAAACGCCACCCTCCCTCAGGATTTCGCTTGGGAGATCATCTCTGCCCGGTGCCTTTCCTGGACTAAGACTCTGGATTGCCTTCAGTACTTCCTCAACAGATGGCACCTCAGCCAGCCACTCACACGGGGTGACTTTCTCCTCCAATATTTGAGGCACCGCAGCCTCAGCAGGGTCATCCCCACTTTGTCCCATTATGTTTTCCAGGCTGAGGGATTGCCCCTCCCCTAGGACCTCACAGAAATGCTCAGCCAAGAGATTGGATCACCCTTCTTTCCCCTCATGATGGCAATAGGTGTGGCGCTGCAGGTCATTTTTTTAATGGACTTAGAGCGATTTGTGATCACGAGCCACTTAGGCAGACTCCATCTCTTCAGCTACCCGCGACCACCACCCATCCTTGCAGTGCCTCACGGCTCTCCGAACCTCCGAGCAGAGGCTGCGGTAAGCCTCCTCATTTTCCGACGCGGGATGCTGCAGCTGATGAGAGTGGGCCTGTCGCTTTTTCTCAGCCAGCTTGAACACCTCCTCTGTCAGCCAGGGTCTCTGGGGAGGGCTGGACCATGGACCCAAAGCAGACATTGCCGCTGCATGAGCCACAGTTTGACCAATATAGCATCTGCCACATAAACAATTAACCCGATATACACCTTCTGTTAGCAATTTAGGCAATTCGTTTTAGTACAAGATACTAGTTTTTGAATTTTGTGTACTGTACCAAATCTTACTGTAATGTTTTGCTTTTGCAAAACACGGGCTAATTTGTCAGTTACTCCTGAGATATATGGTA